AGTCTCAAGCTCCTGACTGCTCTGAACTCCAGTTCCGGGCGAGTCTCTGGGGACCCAGACTCATACAGGGAGAAACTGGACTGTCTGGCATCGGTCGGAACTCAAGGGCGGCTTTCTCTCAGAGATGCTTGCAGCGATTACCATGGGACACTGAGACTTGGGGCCTCTTAGGGTAGGGCTGAGGATCAGCCATAGCTGTTTGCTCCGCCCTGTTGATTCCCTGACACCCCGCCCCACCCAAGCTGCGAGCAGAGGCTTTTGCATATGAAAGGCCTGGCCCTTTGCAATCTGAAAATTACCTAACAAACCGCAGCTGGGTCAGAGAGACCCAGAACTTCCAAAAGAAGGCCCAAGACCCCACAGCAGCTTGCATTGCTTCACAGCTGGGCCTCATCTGGGCACCTCCAAACCCCAAACAAAGAAGAGGAATCTGCAGATCTCTCCATAGCTCCTGCTGGGTAGCCTTAGGCAGAGGCTAAATTAGCACCTCCTTAGAGATACAAGAGCCAGTGTACCCAGTGGTCAGAGTGGGACCATCCAGATTACAACTTCTCAGATCCATAAGGGACACACTCAGGGGGAAGACTCAGTGAGCACCAAAGCCCCACTGAAGCAAGTCTTGCCTCATAAGGGTGTCTCCAGCACACAAGTTCTCCCACTGTAGACACAGCTGATTCTCACAGCCAATTGGCCTGGAGGTCAATTCCTCCCGTGATACCTACAACAATCAAGGCTTAACTACAACAAGACTGTGCACAAAGCCCACAAGGGGGTGCACCAAGAGTGTCCACCTCAGGTAATTGGGGAGGCTGAGCCACTGGGCCCTATAGGACACTTAGCGCAGAAAACCACTCTATCAACACAGGGAAGCAGCCAAAATGTGGAGACAAAGAAACAGGTCACAAATGACAGAAAGGGAGGAAAGCAAACTACTGGATATAGAGTTCAAAACCAAACTTATAAGGTTTTTCAAGAATTTTCTAAAAACCGCCGATAAATTTAGTGAGACCCTCAAGAAATCTAGTGAGACCCTCAAGATTATGAAAAAGGACCAACTAGAAATTAAGCATACACTGACTGAAATAAAGAATATTATACAGAGTTCCAACAGCAGACTAGAGGATCCCAAGAATCAAGTCAAAGATTTGAAATATGAAGAAGCAAAAAACACCCAACCAGAAAAAACAAAAAGATAAAAGAATCCAAAAATATGAAGATAGTGTAAGGAGCCTCTGGGACAACTTCAAGAGTACCAACATCCAAATTATGGGGGTGCCAGAAGAAGAGAGAGAGCAAGATATTGAAAACCTATTTGAAGAAATAATGACAGAAAACTTCCCCTACCTGGTGAAAGAAATAGACTTACAAGTCCAGGAAACCCAGAGAACCCCAAATAAAAGGAATCCAAAGAGGACCACACCAATACACATCCTAATTAAAATACCAAGTGCAAAAGACAACGAGAGAATCTTAAAAGCAGCAAGATAAAAAAAAGTCAGTTACTACAAGGGAGTACCCATATGACTGTCAGCTGATTTCTCAACAGAAACTATGCAGGCCAGAAGGGAGTGGCAAGAAATATTCAAAGTGATGAATAGCAAGAATCTACAATCAAGATTACTTTATCCAGCAAAGCTATCATTCAGAATTGAAGGTCAGATAAAGAGCTTCACAGATAATAAAAAGCTAAAGAAGTTCATCACCACCAAGCCAGTATTATATGAAATGCTGAAAGGTATCCTTTAAGAAGAGGAAGAAGAAGAAAAAGGTAAAGATACAAATTATGAACAACAAATACACATCTATCAACAAGTGAATCTAAAAATCAAGTGAATAAATAATCTGATGAACAGAATAAACTGGTGAATATAATAGAATCAGGGGCATAGAAAGGGAGTGGACTGACTATTCTCGGGAGGGAAAGTGATGTGGCGGTGCGGGAAGAGACTGAACAAAAATCATACACCTATGGATGAGGGCAGTGGGGGGGAGGGTAAGGGCAGAGGAGGTGGGGTGGGAACCGGGTAGTGGGGAGCTATGGGGTGGGGGGGAGGAAAGAGGAACCACTGTAATAATCTGAACAATAAAGATTTAATTAAAAAATTAAAAAAATAAAATATTCCAGAAACATAAAAAAAAGATGAATAAGAAAAAAGAGAGCAGATTTTCAGTGATTTAATATGGTGTGACATCGTTATTGTAATTTATCTTCTAGAGTTTACATTCGTATTTTATTAACTTAAAAATAGATGTACTGTATTTATTAGGGTTCATTAATTAAAACAATACAAACTTCAAAGTTGTTTCCAGCTATTACATGTCTTCTTTTTCATGGAAAAGTTTGCAGCAAAGACATCAAATTGTTCTATCTTCTTTATAAACAAGAAAACTCAAAACTCATCAATCCTTGTCATATTGAAAATGCCAATTTAACATTAAAATAAGTAACTTAATCTAAAAAGCACAAAATTGTACAAGCAAAGACGTTAAGTACCAAAGCTAAATTGGCTGTGCCGGGGTTTCACTCAAAATGTCATCAGTTTCTCGAGAAGAAATGAATACCCATCTAACATTTTCTAAATCCACAGTACTTATTTCCTCATGGACATTGTGGTTAACATAATATAGAGAGAGAATTTAAAGAAAAAATACACTATTTGATTTTCTTGTGTGTGTATGTGTGTGGGGGGGTAGTGTTGGGGTCTTGAGGTATTATAAATATCATGACCTGCTGGGGAAATGTTCATTTCTTGTCTTTGCAAATTTTAATGATAAGCTTGCAGAGCTTGGCCAGCTGTTTTAGGCTATTTATTGCACCAGAAAGAGGGAACACACAGCTGCAAGATCAACCAGGAAGACAATGAAGAGCCTGAGCTCTGTTCTGTGAGGCAACACTAAGCCAGAGGAGAAGCTGAAAGCTGTTCCTGGGCAGAGGGAGGTCGGAAATTAGATGAGAGATGGAAAAAGTCAAGAGGTAAATTACTCTGAGGAGTGTTTCTTACATTTAATGTGCTTAGGAATCACCTGGGGACCATGTTAAAGTGCAGATTCGGACTCAGAAAGCCTGGAGTGAGACCTGAGAATTTCATTTCTAAGAACCATCTAGGCCTTGACGTTGAACGCTGATGCTTGCACCACACATTGTGTGACAAGGTCCGAGGACACCGCATCTCCCAACATGTCTCTGGAAGTAGAAGTGCCAACTTTGTTTTATCACAAAGTCTATGAGATTAACAAAGTGAAATGAATACATTTCCCCAAATTGTCAATATATAGAAACGTGTTTTATTTTCTTTATACCATCTTAAACACACACACACACACACAAAAAAAAAAAAAAATAACAGGAGGTAGACCACTTGTGGCTTTGACATACAAGGTAATTTCTTGTTGTTTAAAATAAATACACATATAAGTATCTATTAGTAAAATGTCACTGTGGTTTTGGCTTTTTGTAGACCCTTAAGTAGCAGGTTTCTATGGTATGCTATCTGATAGAGTAATAAACTCAAATTTCTAAAATTAAACTTAGTTTTGACTTTTAGATGATGCATTTTTAAATGAGTTTTCCAGCTCAATGCTGAGTTTTGGTTCACTCTTTATGACAACCTAGGATGTGCTTTTATCCTAATCATTAGAATTTTTTTACACCTATGGGAAAACCAAATCCTGACTTCCTTCATCCTTTCCCTTCTGAAGCAACTAACCATGGCCTGATTATGTGATAGGTTTTGGCACTGTGTCAATGTCAAGGTGTACCAGGAAGAAAAGCAGATACAAAGATGACAGATAGATGAAGTATCCTTGATGCAAAACATCCGTTGGTGAAAAAGTTGATGGTACCATAAAAATTAGTACATTTAGGTACCAAAGTCTAAAGACTGAACACCAATACCAAGTGGAAGTAAGTGTAACCTCTTAGAAAAGAGAACCAGCATAGAAGAATATGGAATGCATAAATGTGTTCCTATCAAGTATTTCAAAGTAACATTTTGCGTTTTCTACGGGCTATAATTGGAAGAAAATAAAAAGGGCATGCATGGTCATTTATTACACAGTTTTGTAGGCACAAGAATTTTTCAAATCTATCCCCCTTTTTTCTGAAAAAATAAAAAAGAAAATTTTATCACACAAAAGGCTCTTTATAAATATTCAGGCCACCAAAATGTCACACACCTTAGTAATCTGTGTCTGGCAGGTAAAGTATTAAAGATATTTAAGAAGTTTAAAATGTAACCGCATCAGGTTTTTTCTAAATAAAATATACCCAGCTTTAAATTGAACTAGACAAGTTGCAAATATTTTAAATAAAGAAATTAAGGCAGCATAGGTTTAATACACCCTATACTACTTGGAGCAGTCACTAAGGTATATTTTATGGCTACAGCTCTGGAGACTACTATCTGTACATACACATTCTCATTCTTTTTTTCCAAATATTTTTTTGTTTATTTCTGAGAGGAAAGGAGAGGGAGAGAGAGATAGAAACATCAATAATGAGACTGAATCATTGCTCTGCTGCCACCTGCATGCCCCCACTGGGGATCGAACCCACAACTTAGGCATGTGCCCTGATCAGAAATAGAACCGTGACCTCCAGGTTCATAGATTGATGCTCAACCACTGAGAGACACTGGCTGGACTATACATTTTCTACATTGGTTAAAACTTAGACTGCCTTCTCAATTCTCTTATTCCAATCGCATCACAAAACATTAGATGGTCACACCTAGATCATCTGCCTGATAATAATAATAATTAATGTTCAATACATTCAAGCAATTGATAAATTCAAAAGGAAAAGAAATACTTTCAAAATTCTCAGTAGTTCCACTGGGCACTGATATTAGTCTCTCTTTGTCCATGTGTTAAAAACACTGATAAATGGGTCACCAGAATTCCAGGAGTTTGCCTAAGAGAGCATGCCAATAGTTCCGTCTGCTCTCTATGCGGGGTAATGGACAGGACCATGTTCCTTCTCAATAGTTTACTGAACTCACCCCATGTGATGGACTAGAGATCCAGCCCAGCTCCCCTTGAATCGTTTTGGAATCCAGCAGATTGACTAAAAGAAAACACAAATACACAAACACTGTTAAGAGGAATGAATTTATATTTGCCTTTTTCAAGTTACTGCTGTCTGCTACTGGTAGTGATATGAAAATAATAACATATTCAAAACACACGACTTCATTTTCTTTAGACCTTTAATGTATAAAAATTATAAGAGAATTACAAAAGAAAAGCAACCACAGGGAAAGTTAAGGAATTGAACACTTCCGTGGCTTTTGTAACTCTGTTTACAAGATAAGTTAATATTCAATACATTTATAATGATTTCTTATAGAATAATTACAGATTTAAAGAGGGAACAATTAAACACAAAGTTGGAAACAATATTAATGCTAACCTGAAATCAAAATAACTTCAAAGATCATAAAATGTGATAAATTTACATATGATTTTACTATAAATTAATTTCTTAAATATGCTTCCACCATAAATTAGTATTTCTGTTTGCATATTTAATATGGCATGTTTATATTGTCCCTGTCAGTCGCAAACATTCTATACTGTGTGTTTTTTAAATCCTCAACCAAAGATATGTTTTTATTGACAGAGAGAGAAAGAAACATCAATGTGTTGCCTCCATAACCTTGGTGTGGATGGAATCCATAACCTTGGTGTGTACCCTGACGGGGAATTGGAACTGCAACCATAAATTGTGTACGGGATGACACTCCAACCAACTGAGCCACCAGAGTTGTAATGTCTATTATTTAATACCATATAAATGGTCTCCTTATGTGTAACAAACAAAATGCTTAGCAACTAATATGAGGAGAAACCAAAGCAAAAATATGTCTTATAATATTGCCTGCGTAAAGTTTTACTTATTTAAAGAATATATTGTTCCCCAAAAGCTTTAATGATTTTAACTCAGAACTTTCTTACTTATTAAAAAGTCTGATGTTGACGAACAATAAAGTGTAATATGAATGTGGTTGCATTTTGGATATATTATTTAAAAAGTAAGACAAATGCTTTGTTTTCAATATGGAGAATATTAATCTGTAATTGACTAGAAATTAATATATAAAAAGATAGTTCAGGTTTAATTAATAACAAAGGTCTCAGTTTTAAATAATGGAAACTATGGTTTTACAGCTTCCTTCTAAATTAGAAAGCAATCCCACTGTTGACTGATGGAAGATGTAAAGGAAGTTTATATAAAATATATATGTATTATTAACATGAACCAGAACAGGTGAATAAATAACTACAATAGGAGAGAGTCATTTTCAAGGGTTCCATATATTCACAAATCAAAATTTAATGTTAGTACATGCATGCACATGTCTGTGTGTTGACAAATAGTGTTTCTGCATGTGTGAAAAGCAGCACCTTTTCTTTAATCACCCCAGTTTTTACAAAGAAAACATTTATCTTATAAAATGTTAAGAAAAATAAATAATATATTTGCTAAATATCAAAATTCTAAATTTTCAAGTGCTGCTTTTTAAAGGATATTTATTAGCTGGTTAAAGAATATACTAGTTAAGTATAAGGAATGCTCATTATTAAGTTAAAAAGAGACAAAATTCTGAAAGTTAGATTCTCTAAGTTTTGGTAGTGAAAGAAAAACACATAAAATTAATCTATTACACTTGGATTCTTTAATGATTAAAGTTTTTTCTCACTATAAATTAATCCCACTGTTAAGTAATTATATTTAGGTAAGAGAAGAATATAGTTGCTGCATGGATCACACAGAGTAATTTACATAATGAAATTATTTCCCAGGATATCAGTTTGAAAATTAATAATATATTTGATTATATTAAAATTATCTCTTAAAATATTTTTTAAAACTGTCTATTAATCAATGTTATAGATATTTCAGATTAATCAATGTAAGAACATTTTTTGTAAATATGAGAATACACCTTCATGAGTCACCAACACATATTCTGACATAGACCTAGTTTATTGTTGGTACTATCAGCTATCAGTGGATTTCTGAGTTTTATGAGGATTAGTAAGTCATATTTGCAATGTCTTTAAGGCTTTAAATGGTTCAATGTCCTCTTGTGTATCTACTTATATAAAAGCCCTGGGTGTAACGTTACGGCCAAAACTGCGACCAACCGGAAGGAAGTCGGTCCTGCAGGGGCCATCTTGGAAATGCCTGCGCCCTCCCCCAGCTGTTTCCTGGAGGGCGAGGTTTCAGGCAGGAACCCGCCCTCAGAGCGGAGCATGGAAGTGAAATAATTTGTAATGGATCTATTATTGCAGCTACCTTTGGAAATACTACATCTATAGATCAGTTGTTCTCAACCTTGGCTGCACATTAGAATCACCTGGGAATCTTTTTAAAATCCTGATTTCTAGGACTCATCCTCCAGAAATTCTGTTTCTTTGTTACTAATGTTGTGGGCCCCACCCCACAATAAAGAAACAATTTTCTGGAGAATGAGGGCCAGGAATAAGGATTTTAAAAAGATTCCCAGTTGATTCTAATGTGCAGCCAAGGTTGAGAACCACTGCTATAGATACTATTAAAAATATATCTAAACGTGCAATTCTTTGTCCCAAAAATGAGCATGTTCAAAAATTAAATAAAGAAAATTTGGATATACTCAATGGAGATTTTTACACATATTTGAGTGATGATTCCATTGATTCCACAGATGATGCTTAAAAGGAAAATTTTCCCATCGAATTTCTTAATAGTATTACTCCTTCGGCAATGCTATGTCATAAATTAAAATTGAAAGTGGGTGCAATCATCATGCTATTGAGAAATCTCAATAGTAAATGGGATCTTTGTAATGGTACCAGATTTATTATAAAAAAATTACCACCTAGCCCTGACCAGTTTGGCTCAGTGGATAGAGCGTCAGCCTGTGGACTGAAGAGTCCCAGGTTCGATTCTGGTCAAGGGCATGTACCTTGGTTGCGGGCACATCCCCAGTAGGGGGTGTACAGGAGGCAGCTGATCGATGTTTCTCTCTCATCGATGTTCCTAACTCTCTATCCCTCTCCCTTCCTCTCTGAAAAATCAATAAAATATATTTTAAAAAAAAGATTACGACCCAACATTATCGAAGCTGAAGTATTAACAGGATCTTCAGAGGGAGAGGTTGTTCTGATTCTAAGAATTAATTTGTCCCCATCTGACACTGGCCTCCCATTTAAATTGATTTGATGACAGTTTCCCGTGATGCCAGCATTTGCGATGACTATTAATAAATCACAAGGACAAACTCTAGACAAAGTAGGCATATTCTTATCTGAACCCGTTTTCGCACGTGGTCAGTTATATGTTGCTTTCTCTCGAGTTTGGAGAGCATGTGACGTTAAAGTTAAAGTTTTAAATACTTCATCACAAGGAAAATTAGTCAAGCACTTTGAAAGTGTTTTCACTCTTAATGTGGTGTACAGGGAGATATTAGAATAAGTTTAATCACTTTATCAGTCATTGTTTGCATCACTGTTGTTTTCATATCATGTTTTTGTCGTTTTTATATCATGCCTCTGTTGTTTTTATATCCTTTTGTTACTGTTTATTTATTAATAAATTTATATATTATTTTCATATACATTTTACTAATTTCCTTTCATCTCTCACACTTCTATTATAGAGAAAGGGCAAATAGCAATATAAAATATCTCTGCTAATTAATTCCCTTTTTTTAAAACATATTTTTTACAAAGAGGAAGGGAGAGGGATAGAGAGTTAGAAACATCGATGAGAGAGAAACATCGATCAGCTGCCTCCTGCACACTCCCCACTGGGAATGTGCCCGCAACCAAGGTACACGCCCTTGACCGGAATCAAACCTGGAACCCTTAAGTCCATAGGCCGATGCTCTATCCACTGAGCCAAACCAGTTAGGGAAATTAATTCCCTTTTAATGTCCCCCGAGTGCACAAATTTTTGTGCACCGGGCCTCTAGTATATATATAAAAGCCAAGCGACCGGAACAATGGAATGACCAGAATGGCCGGTCACTATGACATGCACTCCAGTGGCCAACAGGCCTGATCAAGGACCTGATCACCCCCCCACCTCCCATACTTCCCCTTCCAGCCAGCCTGGCCCTCCACCCAATTGGGGGTGGGGCCAGCCAGCTAATCTCCTGTGTCCCCTCCCCCTGCTGGCCCCGCCCAATGGGCCCCCATCAGTGTGGACTGGCCGGACCCCACCTGTGCATGAATTCATGCACCAGGCCTCTAGTCAAATAATATAAATGTATTTAAAGCTACTGACTTTATAACATGCTACACAGATTCAGTGTTCTTGTAAAATTAATTCATTGGGCTTTTGAATTGTATTTATAATCAGTATTCTATATATGACCTAATAGAAAAGAACAGTAACATCAAAACACTTTTTTAAAAGTACCTATTTTGAGGTTATAAGGTGCCTTTTGTTTTTAGCAAAATGAGAACAATACAATCTAAAATTCTAGTCACTTTAAAGTGGATTATTGCTAAACTGAGACTTTCAAGGATAAAAACCTCTCATCTCCTGTGATCTGTTGCATTAGAGTATGAGAGCAGCATATTTGAGATAGAAAGAAGGGAATGTTAATGGAATTTGAATGCCTCCTGTTGTGAGTGATTTCTCTGGATACATTCACTAAATCTAACCTTCCCATACAACTTAAACCCTGCACTGATATAGGCAAGAACTTTGGTTACTCATGCTTTTCTTTCATAAAAAAATGTAGACCTGACCATAATCTTTTAAGTGTTATTATTATTCATTGTCAGGACAGAGAGAAGTGGCACGCAAAATTGTGGTGTACAAATATTATATTTCTGTCTGAGTTTTAATGACAATTTACAATATGGGAGATTATTTTCAATTGATGAAAAATCTGAGTTTATAATTATGAATGTAAATAAAAAGAGAGGAAATTATTGGTAAACGTAGGTGAGAATATATGGATAGCTTAATTCCTTAATGACTGCCTCATATCAGGTCATTTGTCAAAGATATAAACTATTCTTTATCTGATTTCATATTCTAATTTTGTGATTTCCAATTACTGTTGG